ACCTTTAGTCCCAGGTGTGATATAATTCTGTGTGCTGGATCTACTAGCAATCCTGACAGAACCATAACAGGCGATTGCCACTTGGCAGTACAAGTGAGAATTTGAAGTCAATTCAAAGTAACTTACAAATTTAAGGCCAAAATAGCCGAACTGGGGTAAAATGACACAAATAGGTAAGGATAGTATTAGACTAATGACAGTTGCAGAAGAGGAATCAGTCAGGAGCTATTAACAGTTTAATTGATACGCTTTTATGAAGAAGTGGGTTTTTAACGATTTTTTGAAGGAGTGGAGACTGGGTGAGAATCTAATGGAGGAGGGAAGCGAGTTCCACAGGAACGGTGCAGCCCTTGAGAAATCTTGAAAGCGAACATCAGAGGTGGGAGTACGGACAGAAGATAGACGTAAGTCTTCAGCAGATCATAAGGGCCTAGACGGGACATACTTGTGTATAAGGGAGGATAGATAGGTGGGAGCAGCATTATGTAGAGATTTGAAAGCAAGAACCAGAATTTTAAATTGAACTCTATATTTTATAGGAAGCCAATGTAGGGATTGACAGAAGGGTGAGGCATGGGAGGTGCGGGCCGACAGGAAGATGAGTCTCGCCGTCGCATTCATCTGTATCTGTATCACTAGAAGGCTTGTCACAGAGCACTCTCGCTATCCAAATAGCTCTCCAATAGGAGGGTCCGCGCCCGAATTACAGCATATTACATTTTTACAGGTTCGCACCTATACTCCGATACAGCAAGTAGATTCAAGGGTGCAGCAGCATATAGTGGTCTACAAGAAGGATTTCCTGGACCATCGGGGAGATACCAAGATCCAGGTATCCTCTGATGCCTCCCTGACTTCCCCGCAAAATAGCGCTCTATTTGGTCGAGGAACTGAGCGATACCAGCTTAAAGATTGACCGGACCTCGTCACAGTCCCGGTTCTGAAGGTTTTCCGGGTATCTCCCTGTCAGGAGCTCAATATATAAAACAAGTTCAGACAATCACAAGAGGTCCTCAGGTCTGGCTGGATGCACAGTAAGTGTCGGAGGCCCCATACCAATCCCCACAGTGACAATTGCCCCTTTTGCTGGGGAGGGAGGCAGACTACCTTCTCTGCCTGGGTTGCAATCTGCCACTGGAGAGGGAGACTGGCTACCTCGTCTTCTCCTTAGGTTGCAATCTGCCGCCGAGGAGGGAGGTCAACTAACCATGTCCTCTTCATGGGTTGCAATCTGTCGCTGTGGAGGGAGGCTGGTTACATCCTCAACTTTGAGCCCAATCTGATGCTTGGGAGGGTGGCCTACTACCTCCTCTCCTTGGAGGTCAATCTACCAATGGGAAGTGAGGCCAATCTGCTGATGGGGAGGGAGGCATGTTACCTCCTCTCCCTGGAACCCTGTCTGCCATATGGGAGAGAGAACAACTACCTCTTCTCCCTGGAGCCCAATCTGCTGCTGGGGAGGGAGGCAGATTACATCTCCAGAGAGCATCATGGATTTGGGCCAACCGTCCAGCATCACTGTGATTCAGGTGTGGAGAACATCTACTTGACAAACATTCTTGGTTGTGAAGTCTATTAAATCCCCAGTCTCTGGGACCCGCTGCCATAACAAAGCCTGTAATCCTTTCTAGGATGGAATGTTATGGTCTTTTTCAAGAGCTTAAGTTGTTTTTGGCACTACAGGTGTCCTTTAAGTATAATTGCCCAAAAATTAACTAAGCAAGCTTTATCTAATTAGAGCTTTAGATCATTTGACCCTTTCTGACCCTGCTATTAACAGCTTATAGCCCCTCATATCTCTTCACAGATCCATAAGTATGCCCCTCCTCTCTGCCCATGACCACCTCCTGACCGCTGCTCGCACCCATACGGCCAACTCGCGCTTGCAGGACTTCTCGTGGGCGGCTCCCTTCCTATGGCTCTGTAGGAAAGCTTATGGCCTCCCAGAGTAACCTCTACCTTACATACATGTCTCTTGCTCTCTCCTATAGGGCAGCGCTTTGCTCTCTCCTCCAGCTCTGCTTCACTCCCACCTTATTTGATTGATATTTCCTGTCCTAATGTGATTTATACCCCACCTCCTATAGCCTGTAAGCTCGTTTGAGCAGGGTCCTCTTCAACCTATCGTTTCTGTAAGTTTTCTTGTAATTGTCCTATTTATAGTTACATCCCCCCTCTAATAATATTGTAAAGCACTACAGAATCTGTTGGCAATATATAAATGGCAATAATAACAATAACAATAATAATAATAATAATACTGTATATACTCGAGTATAAGCTGAGTTTTTCATTGCCATAATACAGACCAGGACCGCCGGGCTCATTACAAGCCCGGCGGTCCTGTTGGGGGCTGGCAGAGAGCTGTTACTTACCTTCCTGTAGCCCCTGTCAGCTCCCTTCTACTCTGTGCAGCTCCCCTGTCAGCTCCATTCTGCTTCCAGTGTAAGTCTCGCGACACCCGCGGCCGCGCGGCACGCAAACAGCGAGACTTTCACTGTAAGCAGAACGGAGCTGACAGGGGAGCTGCACGGAGGAGAAGGGAGCTGACAGGAGCTGCAGGAAGGTAAGTAACAGCTCTCTGCCAGCCCCCCCACTGCACAGCCCATCCACTGGACCACCAGGGATTAACATAGCCCCCCTCCCTGGCCAGGCAATAAGCAGGGAGGGGGGACAAAAAAACAATTAAATAAAAAAAAATACAAATATTAAAATAAAATTATAATATTCAAATAATAATATGAATATTAAAATAATATTAAAATAAAATAATAATATTAAAATAAAAAAATAAAACAATAAAAATGCCCTCTCCTCACCCAGTTTACACACACTACACACACACACACACACACACACACTGCATTATATACACACTGCATTCACACAAACACACACTGCATTATAGACACACTGCATTCACACAAACACACTGTATTATATACACACACACTGCATTCATTATATACACACACTACACACAAACACACACACTGCATTATATACACAAACACACACACACTGCATTCATTATATAGACACACTGTAAATAAATATTCAATTAATGTAATTTTATTGGGATCTAATTTTATTTAGAAATTTACCAGTAGCTGCTGCATTTCCCATCCTAGGCTTCTACTCGAGTCAATACGTTTTCCCAGTTTTTTTGTGGTAAAATTAGGGGCCTCGGCTTATATTCAGGTCGATTTATACTCGAGTATATACGGTAATAATATGTAAATGCCAAAGTATTTAAAATACATTTCATTTTTCTCATTTCTCAAGCTACTTATAGCTCTTTTAATAATTAATCACATAATTATTTTACTGGAATAAACTGACTGAATTATTTAGAGGTTGATAACTTGAAAATGAAAAGAATGGAGAGGAGGGGAGTGAAAAGATGAAAGTAGAATTGCATATTATCATGTTACAAGGTGTAGGATGTGTGTGGTTCAAAGCTTACCTGGTCCCCCTACAACTCTGAATATGACCCTTAAAACAGATTACGAATATTCACATTAAAACAAACGTCCCTGAAGTTAAGATAAAAAACAAAAAATATTGAATTGTAATATTGAAGAGGTCTTTATGTACCCCTATAACACTCAAAGTAAAATAATGTATATTTGTATATGTCACTGTGCTCTTGCTGACTAATATAAAATTACCACACAAAGCTCAGTCTTACATAAGACCAGTTTGTGATATCACTTTCATTGTTATTCTACTTATTCCATCTTGATGATAACGTTGCACCTATAGGGTGGGAATTGTAGAAAATTCAGCATTCAACCAGCTACCAATGTGATTTGCAGCAAATTTATCCTTTGGCCTAGTCAAAGGGAAGACAACCTTTGCCACCCCAGATGTTTTGGAGTACATCTCTCATAATGCTTTTATAGCCATAATAATGGCAAAGCATCATGAGAGATGTAGTCCACAACATCCTCTGTCCTAATCTGTCCATCTCAATTCCTTTCTAGACATGTTGCTTAAACATTTGTAGCCTAGAAATGCACTTTAAATAATAGATCTAATCTGTACTTTCATTTATTCATGGAGATTAAAGATAAGCGACAAACTAGTCAATTAGTTTCTTTCATATGATAATAGGTAAACTAAATTAACAATAAAATCATTGATTTAATCAAACGCAAAGTAAAGATTGTGATATATATATATATATATATATACATACACTGAAATCTATTTGAATACATGTGTACTAAATGAACAGTTATTAACCTCGATATTTATAAAAATTGTTGTTACGATAAATGTTAAAAAAAAAAATTTAAATCTAACATTAATGACTGAATCCTATTAATCAATTGAAATTTCATTCTCACCAAGAAATGTCTGAATAATGTATCTCATTCATTGTAACAGAGGTGGTACTGCCTATGATCCTGGCTAAAGCACTGATTGGTTCGCAGATCCCGCACACTGAGGCAGCAGAGGGAAAAAACACACCAGCCTATTTTACAAATAAATTAAGAATGGAAACAAAGATGAGTTTTGTGTTTTCCTTCAGTAAATTAATGAAACCACCTGATGATGGGCAATTCTGTCATTAGTAGAGACATAACACACACACACACACAGGATAGGAAACATCTGAAAGCACTATGGCTGCAACTGTATATATCTGAAAATTCTCACTGTATTCTGCTTTCTGCATCTTTATCACTGGTTTCAGTCAAGGTGGGGTGAAGTAAGGGTAAGCAGAACAAAGCATCCAAGTGAAACACTGGAAGTGCAAAGAAGCATTAATTATTCTTTCTACATTAGATATAATTGTTGTACATAGACATAAGCCATGGAGAACAGACCTTACAAAATCAATGGTATAGAGAGATCAAAATGTCATATGTATTACACTGAGATTTGTAATATAACAATTGATGCCAGAGATAGAATTGAAAAATCATCCTTCCTAGTAATAAAAATTTGGTAGCAATTTGGTTATCTATAAATAACATTATTTGTGCACAGGAATAATATAAAAGAAATCCAATATTCTAAGTAAATTTTGGCCATGTATGCATCATGCACCTGACACCTGTATACAAGCTGGTAGAATATGCCATCATTAGTTTCTCCATAAAGAACCCCTCATTTGCCAAGCTTTGTTGATGTCAATGCAGCATTGCAATGACAACTCACACAAATGTAACATGCATACTACTAAAATAAGCTCCTACAAAAAAGCTAATGAATGGTGGTGGCAAGGTTTTTTCCTATTTCAACTATTCTCTAGGGTAACATACCCACAAATTCCTCATCATCATCATCCTCTTCTTCATCGCCATTTTCAGAGTCTGTCTGCATGGGTTCTTCGGAAAAGTTGACCCCCTTGAAGTGTTTGAAGGGTAAGTCCATGCCATGGCTGAGGGTGGTCCCCTGGCTGTGAGACTCCTTGAGCTGAGTGAAGTACTGCAGGGCGAAGTCAATCAGGTCCTCAGGCTGCCTCCTCAGCACCTCCACAGTAAAGCCCTGCAGCAGCTCGGTCAGCCCCTCAGGGATTTCTATACTCATTCCTGGGGCAATAGGCAAAAGGAGGACTTGGGTAACAAGTAAAAAGAAAAGAAAAATGAATACTGCTACTAATCAGTATGTGTATACAATGTGTGTCTTCTCCCCAGGCTGCAGCACAAGGGAGCCTCTCCAGACAGTGAGCAGTAATTCCAGGGATGGAATGTAGGGGAGATGAGGAATCCACTGCAATGGCCTTGAGAGGGAGGGGGATCCAGGAGAAAGTGTGAGAAGCTGGTACAGGAGGGGAGAGCTGTCAGATGTCCTGGGTCTGCTCCAGGCTGGGGTACACCATGCGGCACAGGCTGCTATTGGGGCATGAGAAGCACAAAGTCTGGCTCAGGGGTCAATGAAGGGGTGTGGGCAGGTGAATGCTGAAGGTAGTGTAAAATGGGGGGAGTACTGACACTGGTCCGAGGAGTAATAAGTTACCCGGTGTATAAGGGGTTAATGGTGCAGAGGGCCCCTGGCAGCTTGCGGGAGAGGGCCCGGGATCTTGGAGACACCGCAACACGGAGTGGGGGAGGAGGGAGTCCTGGTTGCTCAGATCGCTTTAATTACATCAGTGATGCAGATCGCCTTCCCACGCTGCTGCTCAGACGGAGCCCGGGCGGCCTGCTCCCCGGCTGGGGGGACCCTGCGGCTGGCGAACGGGCGGGTATATACCATGTACACGGCCTCAACGTCTGCCCGCACCTACATCATCCGCGGCGGGGGGGCTGCACGGCCGCTAGGTAATCCCTGATTGCCTACTGTATGAGTGAGCCCCCGGCAGAGCACAGCCTGCTGCTTGAAATGTACCAGGGACACGGCGAGCGGTGTATCCCCCGCCCCCCCGCATTCACTCACCAGGGCCAGGGGGGCCAGCACGCGCATGTGACCCCCGGAAACCATGGCAACAACCTATCTGAGGGATGGCATCTGCAGCAGCACGGGGGTGTCATGATGTGTGCACTGTGCAAGCTGCAGTGGATAGGGGCAGAGGGGTCACAGTGAGGGCTGTTATACCCTAATACCTGTATCTAAGGAGTGCCCCTCATTGATGGGATGGGGTCACTCTGAACGATTCCAGCCACACAGAACACAAACCTGCCCTTTACTTCTCTCTCATAAAGTGGGATACAAGAGAAATTGGGTATATACTGGAAAAAAAGAACCTCTGTATTTATCTGAGTGCTTTATGGGCTATGATTCCTGATGGTACTGAGTTCACTGTGTTCTTTATACAGGTCTATTTTGATTTTTATGTGTAGTGTAAAAGAATAAGCCAAAAAAGTTATCAGTTAACATTAGCACTTGATATGAAATTTGCTTGGTACCTAAAATGTAAATGATAACAGTACAAGAAAAAGGGTTTTGATCAGTGGTGTACACACAATCCATGGGGCCCCGGTGCGAAACTGATCCGTGGGCCCCGTCCCCCTTCTACCCTGACCCTCTCCCCCCTGACTGTGGCCCCCTGACACATACATACTGACACAAACACCTCCCCCCCCCCACAGACATACATACAGAGACACACACATGCAGACACATACATACAGAGACATACATACATACAGAGACACATACAGACACACACACATACAGAGACAAAAACACACAGACATAGACACATACAGAGACACACACACATACACACATACAGACACACACACACATACAGAGACACACACACACACACATACAGAGACACAGATACACACATACATACACATATATAGAGACACAGACACACACATACAGAGACACACACATACATACATATACACATACAGAGACACACACACACAAAATGTTTCCTACCTTTTGTTACTTTCCCTGGGGTCCAGTGGGGGCTCAGCCTGATGGGAGTCAGAGTTCCCACTCTGACTCCCTCTTCCTTCCTGCTTCCTCCCACGCGAGCTCTGATAGCTGGGAGGAGTGACCGGAGAGTCACTTCCTCCCAGCAGTGATGTCATCATAGGGGGCCCGGTCGTGCTGTTAAAGCACCCCCTCACAATCCATATCCATCGGGTGGCCCTGACAGCATGGGTCACCCGATGGACCCCTTAACATGTGGCCCCGGCGGTTTGCCGCACGGGCCGGGGCCGGCAAAATGTGGCAGCTGGTACCCGGTAAAGCTAAAAGTGTTTCCTGATAGGTTGTAGGGAAACATGTGATCAAGCTTATGTGTGTAACACACCCATATTAAATTAACTGATCTGGCCCTTTAAGGGCTGCAGCGGGCGGCATCCTTAATGATACAGACCCGGCTGCTGAGAGAGGAGAGGTCACCTCTGGTGAATGTTTGGCAGTATTCCCCTTAGTTTGTAGGAATACCGCAGTAGCAATGCACCTATGCACCCATGCGGGCGACGTGATAGTACCCCCTCCCCGAAAACCGCCCACCGGGTGGGAAGGGTCCAGCCATTCGGCAAACCGGGCACGAAAAGCGCGCAGCATGAACGTCAGTCTGGGGCAGGATTCCACGAACGCTCCTCCAGAATATAACTCTTCCAATAGATTAAATACTGCAACACACCCCGCGACCATCTGGAGTCTACAGTCGCCTGGATCTCATACTCCTCCTGGCCATGAATTGACAAGGCGAAGGACGGAATGAGCACATAGTGTAGCGATTGCACAACAAAGGTTTAAGCAGGGATACATGAAACACATTGGGGATACGCAATGCCTGAGGTAGCGCCAAAGCATAAGACACCGGATTAATTTTCCTGGAGATCACATATGGGCCAATGAACGTGGGAGCCAACTTCATGGTCTGAACTTTCAACCGGATGTTGCGAATGGAAAGCCAGACCTTATCTCCAACAACATAATTAGGTGCCATAGAGCGACGTTTGTCATCAAAGATCTTATGACGAGAGGAGGCCAAAGACAAAGCACGCTGCACGTGCTTCCACCTTTCTTGAAGATCGTGGAGGTGGCAATCAAGAGCAGGTACACCAGTCTTATGTAACTGCGAGGGTACAACAAGAGGATGTCTACCACTAGTGATGTAAAAAGGAAGAATCACGAATAGTGTTATGCGCAAATTCAGCATAAGACAAGAGATCGTACCAGTTGTCATGATTGTGTGTTATCAAACAGCTCAAAAAGCCCTCTATTGACTGGTTAACCCTTTCAGTAGCCCCGTTGGTCTGGGGGTGATACAAGGAAGAAAAAGACAATGTAACTCCAAGTTCAGAACAAAACTTCCTCCAAAATCTAGAAATGAATTGAGTCCCTCTATCTGACACGATTTCTTGAGGCAACCCATGTAATCTGTATCACTCCCTAATGAAGATCTGAGCTATTTCAGCTGAGGTGGGTAGCTTACGAAGAGGAATTAAATGAACCATTTTCGAGAAATGATCTACCACCGTTAAAATGGTAGTATACCCCCTGGATGGAGGTAGATCGACTACGAAGTCCATAGCAATGTGAGACAAGGCGTTTCAGGAATAGGAAGTGGCTGTAAGAGACCGCAAGGTAGCTTACGAGGGGTTTTTGCCACAGCGCAAATGGTGCATGCTTTGACATAATCAGTGACATCCGTAAGCATAGAAGGCCACCAGAACTGCCTAGATATGGAGGACAGGGTTTTTCGAATTCCGGGATGACCAGCTGACTTGGTGTCATGGTACAAAAAGAGTATCTCTGTCCTCTCTGTTGGTGACACAAACAATTTATCGTTAAGTTTGTTGTCAGGAGCTTTGGCGCGAAAAGGCTCCTATTTAAACAGGGAACGGACTGAATGGACTTACACTTTGATAAAAGCTTCGGCTGAAACGCGTCAGTGTGTAGAAGTGAGATTGCTGAATTTTAATTTTTGCTGCTGTTTTTTTGCCGCTGTATTGAATAAAGCTTTCATTTGAGATCCTGCATTCTGGATTTTCTAAAGAGAGAAGGAGCAAACAGTTAACGTCCTGACTACAGCTATCACTTCATTAACCCATTCAATGTTCCTAGTCTGAGCCAGCTTTTATTTTAAGTGGCTCAGAAATATGTGAGTTTATAAGATTATCTACTCATTTATTTATTATTTGTACGTTATTACCCTATGTCTGTTTCTTCTACTGTATTTTTACAGGTTTTATATTGGCCATAAGGGTAACTATTGTAACCTGTTTTATATGTGCTCTCACCATTTCTTTCTGTTTTAATCGATTTGGGTGATATGTTGGTGACCCAGATCGGGGCTATCAAGAGATGTAACTTTTGTGGGGGTTTTGTGTGTTCAAAGGTATTTTGGGGGTTTTGGTAAAGTGTATGTTTTCTGTGGCTGGAGATAATTGAGTTTAGTACAGTCCTTGACTCAATTATCTCTCAGGCACAGGGGAGGGATTGACCTATTTTGTATGGGAGTGTCCTGGACCTGAGAGCCAATGTAACCGTGTGTATGTTTTTACTGTAGTGTACTCTCAGGTCCACGGGGGAGTGCCCCTTGCATGGGGACCTGCATATAAGGCCAGTTGTGGCTGCCAATAAATTATTTCCTGCTTACTCTCAACATAGAATCTCATCTCATGTGTGGGGGAAACAGCTGTATCTACTCTGGGGATTGCTATATCACTATACTCCCCTGGGATTATAATCATTTGATCTTTTAAAAGCATATTGCTTTATTCTCTTGGAGGAGAGGTCTACCCACTGGCAGCTGGTTTCTGGTCTTGGGTCCAGGGTGGGTGGAGGACAGTGAGAATCCAACCAAGCTATAACGCTGGAAGTGGAGACTACAGTGCTGATGGTGTCTGGTGCAGTCCTTGTCGTAATCGGTAAGCACTAGGAAGCAGCGATTGGCAGAGGCACCCAGTCGGGGTGCCAGGCTGTCCGTCACACAGACCAATTCTATTTAATTTTAATATGATAATTTGTATGTACTTGCAAACTGTCACGTATTCATCCGCACATAAAAATGTGTTTAATGACATTTACCGTCCTGACAGGATAAGTTGTGCCAAGCAACCTTACCGTCCTAACAGGAAAGTTGTGCCGAGCAGCAATCATGCACATGGAAACCTGGTAATTGCTTTTGGGGTCAAAGGCTAGTCATGGCCAATCAGATCCACAGGAGGGTTTGTGCTAAGCAGCAATCATGCACATGGAAACCTGGTAATTGCTTTTGGGTCAAAGGCTGGCTACAGCCAATTGGATCCACAAGAGGGGTATTTAAACCCAATTATCCTTTTTTGCTCATTGCCCTGTCGTGGTTTCATCTTGATGGTAATCCGAGAGTGCGTTCCTGATCTTGATTTTCTGGTATTTGACTTTGGCTTAGTTTTGACTTCCCTGAATTCTGGTATCCTTGCCTTTTGGCTTTCCTTCATCGTTGTGTCTGATTCTGTGTTCCTGACCTCGCAAGTATTTTGACTATTCTTGAATACGTTAAGTCCGGCCATTCTAAGGTACGTTTATACGTTATCCTTAGTCCTAGGTGTGACACAGTTCTGCGTGCTGGATCAACCTGTAATTCTGACATACCAGGCCAAGAAACCTATGACCGACAATCTCAGTTCTGAATTAGCAAGAATTACGGTCTCATGCAATAATGTCAGCCATGTCTTCAATACAAGAATCTTTATTAAACTCAGTAGCATCAGTTTTGTCCACTACTCACTCTGATTTACCTATGATTTGTGGACAGAAGGAGTAACATATCTCTTCTGACCAGTTTTGGTGAGCAGTGGGCTGAGAGCATGATGACTTGTGATTTTATGAAAGCAACCTTGAAGAGAGACTATTGCTTTGATGGTCCTATAAGTGATTCTAAAATGCACAAATTTCATGACTGTGTAAAGAACCAAGATCTGGTAGAGGAGACCATTATAAGCAACACTTCTGTAAATACTCAAGTTTTAAGAGAATGAACACATAGTGATTTATATATTTTAGGAAATGCAAATGCTGCCTACCAGCTATTGAATAACATTTGACTGCTTTTCTGAAGATGAACCTGCAATTGCTCCACATTTCTACTTCGGAACGAAGCTCATCATCTAAAGTACTGTTATTTGTAAATGCCGTCATCAAAGAAATTGAGAAACTTGCCAACATTCTTTCTTCTTTGATTAAAGTCCAGATGTTGTTAAAGAAAGTGTCAGGCACAAAATCTTTTGAAGGGCTGGGAAAGGTCAGGTGCGTTTTCCCAGCGGTTCGTCTCAAAGTAAATCATATTCAAAAGGAGAACATAGATCCCTCTGACATGCAATTCTTCACCCCATTGTTTCCCTAACGTGGAAGAACATGGAAGTTTTCAGGGCAAAAAGGAGAGCTCCATTCCTGACCTTCCTCAGGCCAGTGTATCATAACTCCATTTTTACCCAGAAAAATTGGGTGGCAGACTCACCCTGTTATGAATGTTTGGTATTTTGTATACCCGTTCATTCGTATGCGCCCAAAAGGCTAGGGACTTAGTGATTATAGCCCGTTCGCTTGGAGCACTGATTCGCAGGTTCCCGAAAACCAAGTAAATCCAGTGGTTCATCAATCATATACCCAAACATCAGTCAAGACTTGATGAAGGGTACAACAAGAATGTTTTATTCTGCCCAGATGGCCTGTTTTTATACTCATCAGGAATACAATAAAGACGCCCATACATTTTCTGAGTCAGTATGACTTGGCATAAAACATAAAATATTAAAATCACATAAAACACATATAAGACATAGAGGAACCCCCCACAAATACTACATCCCCGGATAGCTTGAATCTGAGCACCCAAGTTGTCTAAATAGCGCTCAGATCCCACAAATACAGCAGAATCGCTACCGGGGTAAAGTTGTGACCAACCGCTCATGAGGCATCTGCCCAAAACAGTTCCAGAGTTTTAGTTTTAGCGGTCGGTCAATTTTGGCAGTTACAAACCGAACAAAAAGATGAACGGTTCCCCTAGCTCCTAGGTAGCGTTTGTTCGCCTTGTTCGTAAAAACAAATATACCGAACAACACTCTCCTGGCTTGTCGCGGAAAGAAGCAGGCGTTCGTATGGTTTTACCAGTGTTCGCAAGGTCGAGTGTCCAACTTAGAGTTTCTGACACTCGACGACCAGGTCCCGCTGCCCGCATTCATGCAACAAGATGGCTGCATTTTCTCCAGCTTGTGGCGTTCGGTTATACGAACGGCGGCCACACAGGGAGAGCACTTAATTCTGTGGTTTTATTTGAACTTAATGAGCCAGGGCGTGGTCAGTGTTCGATAGATTTATCTACTGAATTCAGGGACAGTAACTTGGGGAATAAAAGTATACAGTTTTGTCACACACCCTTTTTGTCCACATTTTGTCAAGAGTAATGTCAGATGTTGAGGTTTTTTGGATTGTACTGGCTTACAATATAGAGTCTCATCTCCCTCCATTCATTTTTTTTTTTCCCATTCTATTTCGATGACATACTGTTTATGTCTCTAATTAACCATGCAACCAAACATTTCTTGAATTGGACCAGATCCTTACTGATGGATCTGGGTTTCATTATAAATGCCAAAATCCATTGGACCTCTACTAGAAGAATTATTTCTCAGTTTCATAGTAGACTCCTAGAAACTAATAGTCAGTGTGGCGGAACCAACCTCGCCACTGTGCACTGGAGAAGCCTGGTTGCTCGCCTGCTCCCTTTAGATTATGGCCCTGCAGTTCAGAGCTGTTATTCTCCCTGCTGAAAGGTTTATTCGGTCTTTTCTGCCAGGGTGTTCGGTAGATTCCATCTACCGAACAAACTACCGAACGATGGACCACCTGGGAGCTGGAGTGTGCCGTCAATTGACCGCCCAGAAGCTGCGATTAACCGCAGCTTAATTGATGAACGCTGGGTGGCCTTTGTTCGTCTGCCGAACACGTGGCAGCGGCCATTTTACCTCCCGAACGGCCAGCGGTGTTCAGCGCCCAAACTATGGAACTGAAAACGGACACTTATTGGTGCGAACACCGCTGAGCCGCCAGCCTCCTTACCTTCCCATTCGGTAAGCAGAACCGAATGACTGTTCATTCGGTAGTTTCGCCGGATGAACAGCATCCCTCAGATAGCTAAGCCATGGAGCCTATTTGTGTAACGAAAGACTATGGGAAAGACTTTGGCTCCATGGCGATTGAACTGTATGTATGTGATCTGAGCGCCATTCGGTAGTAATGTGCGCTCAGATCTAAGCTATCTGGAGATATGTAGAATGTATATGTTTTAGGTAATAAATGTGACTGTATGTAATTTTATGTTTTTTACTGTATTGTTACTGCCATGAGGTTAATGGAGTTTTGCCTCTGTCCTGGGAGATAAGTGGATTACTTCCCCAGTTATCTCCAGGACAGAGAGGAGGGATTGTGATGTAATTGTGGGAGTGTTAAAGGTGTATGTCTGTGATTGGCTAAGAGCCATTATGTTTCCCAGTTTCCCATTTGGTCCCCAGTTAGCCCCAGTAAACCAGATTCTGCATGACCCTCAAACCGAAGTGTCGTCTCGTCTTTGGGGGGATTTACTGTATGCTGTTAGAGACTGATTACCAGGAGTGTATACCGCTTGGGGGCTTTTCCTGTTCGTCTGCTAACAGCTATTCGTGTGTCTCTAGTTCGGGCGTTTGGAACACTACTTGATATGCAGTTTGGGAGTTTCGAGTATTCCCTTGGTTGCAGTTCGGGAGTTGGTGAATTCGTGGGTTTGCAGTAGCTGTTTGTGCATCTGAAAAAGGGGAATATCGCCTAAACGGTTTTTAACCTCTTGTGGGCAAAACAGTCCGTTACAGTCAGTCTTCAAAGCAGGAAGGTAAAGATAAATTCAAAAGAAATAGTATCTGTTCTAAACAAAGATTTATTATATCTCAAGAACTTTAGCTCACATTGTGATCTCTTGCCTGCATCAATAAAATATTTTTTTAGCTCCCTTATACAACAGAGACTCAAAGCCAAACATCTGAAAGAGGGCCTAGGTTATTTGGACTTGATTTCTCCTACCTGGACATAAGAAAGTTACTTTTGTAGTGCTTAAAATATGTTTGGTCACAGCACAGGAAATTTATTTTCTCTTTCCGATATTGCAATAAAGTCCAACACAAGCTGATTAGGTTGGAAACTCATTGTGGAATCTTATTCACAGGCAGGAAATGGTCTATAGACACAACTCCTCTCGATATAAATTCTGCATTAATAAAAGACCAAATTGCTATGTTTTTCTGAAGATGGACAATACGTTCTCTTCAATAAATGATCGTCTCAGAGGAAAAAAAGTCCAGATCTGAAAGCTATAACCAAAAATGTTTGGCATCTTTGTCTTGATGAGTTAGATTCATTTCTGCAGGATTGGTCTGTAGGGACCCACTACATGTTTTCCACCTTCCTAATGATTCCAAGAGTGTTATTTCACACCACACGGCAGATATCATTAATGTATTTTTCCCCACTGTGGCCTGCCAAACCTTGGTTCCCTCAAGCATTGGGCTTGCTGATAGATATTCAGAGACGCTCCTATTGTGTTGTTACTTTAAATATGTCCCAATCACAAATTCTTCTAAAGTGATCGTGCAAGTTTCCCAAAATGTCATACAATTGTGCTCAAAAGTTCAGCAGAAATTGTGAAATTTTGGCATTGATTTTGAAAATATGACTGATCATGCAAAAAAAGTCACATAGTTGTTTGGCTCCTTTTTAAATAATAATGATAACAGAAATCACCCAAATGGCCCTGATCAAAAGTTTACATACCCTTGAATGTTTGGCCTTATTACAGACACGCAAGGTGACACATACAGGTTAAAATGGTAAGTAAAGGTTAATTTCCCACAGCTGTGGCTTTTTAAATTGCAATTTGTACAAATAAACAAGTAATTACTGTGTATATTGCGCTTGCAAATATTATAATGATGGGCAGAGAAAGCAGCTACACACTCTAGTGGGTTTCTCTTGCTCCCACTATATGCAGTAGTGAACAAAATAAATCAGTAGGATGTGAGTGTTATACCTAAATAGGGTGTGGAGGTTGGATGTACAATAAATAAATACAAAGGAGACAGAATAAAATAATATAGTGTGAATCTACAAAAAAGATGATAAAATAGAACTTAATCGTAACTGTGTCAAAGGGACCGGCTCAAGTCACATCAACAATAGTGTCGTTAGTGACACTGCACCCTTTTTCCCGGGGTAGGTATCCTCAGAAAACGAGATAAAATGAGAAAATCTCTAGTGTATTACGTTCCAGTTTACATATAAAACATAAACTGTTGATGGTTTTGCTCACCTCCTTTAAAGCCAATAAGACCTGGCTCTGGGCTTTAACTCCTTAAGGACCAAACTTCTGGAATAAAAGGGAATGATGACATGTCACACGTCATGTGTCCTTAAGGGGTTAAACCTAGGTACCTCTGAAGAGGGCACATTCCCTTCTTTAGCAGCAAGAAATGGATGAAGCCAATTGGACTAGGTAAATGTATTGAACTTTAAATATAAAATAAAAAAATAGACAATGGTAAAAATTTAATAAAGTGCAAAAGATCAAATGTCCAGATAATGGCATAAAGTCCAAGAGGCGTTTCGCCCATGTGCAGTGTACTTTTTCAATCGGTATTCTCTTTCCTTTCACTCTTGCTGCGTTTAAATATGCCAGGTGTGCACTTGGGTCCAATAAGTCCTTCTCCTGAACGGTCTTCCAATCAGATTCCAGAATGGTGGGAGGTCAAATTTCAACACCTCCAGTCGATCGGGAGTGACGTGATGTCCCCACTTACGTCACTTCCAATTCCACCGCGGCCATTTTCCTTTTGGGCATATGTCCACAAGTCTAGACCGCAAGTGACATGATGGAACGAATTTGCCTGTCACTTCCTATTACGATCATTATTTCCATTTTGAATATGGGAATCAACAGAAATATACTTGCAATCTTGCCCTTACTTCAGTCCTCTATGGGTGAAGTTCTCACCATTAAAATAATGAGGAAGAAAGGGAACAGAAAACATATTGATATTAGTCATGTCTATACATAATATTGTGTTCAAATACAGAATTGACAATGTCTCCAATAAGTCAAGTGATCAATTGTTTAAAAACAGTCAGTCTTACTCAATTGATATGGACTGATTATTAGAAATGAATAAATAGTTATTAGATTTAAAATAATAATTAGAGAGAAAATATTGAAATTAGGGTACACCGAGAGGTTTAAGACTCACAAAAAATCCCTAATTTGATCAGGATGAGGAGGAATTTGTTCAAGAATGGCTAGATATGCTTGAGAACGTTTCATTTGGTCTAATGGGTCTAATAGTTAAAAGAAGGGATAACACTCTAAACACTAGACAACCAAATAAACAGCATCCAAAAGTCTCTAGAGGAAAATATCACCCCAGATGACTACTCCCAGATGACAAATCGTTTCCAAAACAATTTGGATAAAATGGAGAAAGGAACAGTTGAAATTAAAAAGAAAAAATACTTTCGGGACAAAAATGACTATGCGAAAAATCAAGATAGAACATACACCAAAAAGTATATATTTTTTTATATACAATTTATTTTATAATAAATAACAAGTAAGATTTTTGGCGCTTGTATAAAGGGGGATAGGCAGCTGTAGCACAGAGTCTCTTCATATAAAATATATCATGATTTATTTTATGATATTTGAATATTTTGTAAAAAAAAATATTTAAATAGTTTATCCAAAAAATTTAAATTTGAAAAGCTTATCCAAACAAAATAATTTAAAGCCTAAGTAACGAATTAATATGCCTTGGGAAATATAAGTGGATGTGGCAATTGGACACAGCTGTAATTGTACCTATAAAAAGACAGTTTATTCTAAACGTATTTATGAGCCACGTGTAGACTGCAACCCCATTCCCCCATATGAGCATTCTCCAAAAATAAAAAGTGCTGTACTCATCGAAAACAGAGTTACACAAATAAAAAAAGAAAATGAACAGTTACTGTTTATCCTTGGGATCCTACTCCTAGGTTCCACATCAAGTTTGCTAAGATAATGTTGAAAATTAGATAAGGGTTTCACTTCTTTAAAATGTTCCGACTACACTTCTCCACATCTAATTTACGTTGGAGAGGTTGTGGACAGACAGGTACTTTATACCACATTTTCTAATCATGCCCAAAACTATACAACTATTGGCAAATAATATTGGAAATTATCATATCTATAATTTATTTCCCTGTAGATTTAACTCCTGGATTATGTTTACTTAAACGTATTTTTGAGGATTTATCAGTTCACAAAAAATAATGTTAGGATACCTCCTTATCTTGGCTACATTGATCATTCCTGGATATTGGAAATCTGTTAATTCCCTCTATTAAATATGTTTTACTGTTTTTTTTTGAGAATAAAAGATGTGAACTTGCTCTCGGCTACCAATGTACTCCTCAGACATGACTAGTCTGAGTGGGAGAAGGTAATGAGGAGTAAGTATAAACGTGACGATGTTTCCACCTGACCGAAAACCAATTTATCGCTTATGTTTGACTCCTTATTTACAGCATTTACAGCATTTGTCATTCATTTTACAATACTTATATAAATATATACGACGTAAGAAATGTTATTCATTTTTTTTTCTTCCTTTTACTAATTTAATTATTTCATTTTATACTATGGATGTGCAATTTATAAATTTTTCCCCAGTTTTTAATTTTTATGTTTTTCTTCATTTATGATCTTTGTGTTGTTACTCATAGTATTAATAATGTAACTATACCAAACATCCTTGTTATTATGTAATGGTCCATATACCATTCTGTTTAAATACTATTGCTTGTTAGAAACGTTGACAAAAATGTACAATTGTTATTTTTATTATTATTATTTGAAACAATAAAAAACATTTGAAAAGGGTTTCACTTCTGATTTGCATCCAATCTGTGCTGTTTGCTTGCACAAGGTACATTACCAAGTGCTGCCATATACTACCAGACAGGTAAGTGAGAAAAGGTGTTCACTAATAGTCAGTATCAATAACCATGGCTGTGGACCCAGCATTTGGGCTATATGGTTGATACCATGGCCTTGTGTTTCACAATGTATCTCATTTGGACTACCTCTTAAAAGCATGCCTTTGGACTATCTCTATCTATTTGTTGTCAGGATAAACAATAATGAAGAGTAATCTATGCTTTACCGACTAACCAAAAGGGAAACAAATTGAAATTAAAGAGCTACATAATGATATTATTTATGTGTGTTAAAAAACATTCTCAGCTTTATCATCAGTTTTTCAAAATGTCTAAGCTCAAAATGTGAGTAAAAGGTCATCTTTAAAAATCTATTGAATGGGTGGGATCACAAATGCAATGTAGTAACACAAAAGACAAACTATTTAAACAGAACTAGTTCATTCTCGGTATTTTGGGACCATTAGATACATTTCATTTTTCAGTGCTGTCTTAAAAATAATAGACTGGGTGAAAAATAAATGAATTTCTAGAGAGAATACACGGTCTTTTCTCTGTCTGTCACTGTCCGTCAGTTTTACAGCATGTATATTGTCCTAATCAAGTAAAGAGCCCTTCACAGATTATCCTTAGATGGCCTCTTTTTTATGAGATTCCACCCATTCTGGCAGTAATTTACCAATTGCTGTGCAATGCTGAAAAATAGGTACACTTATCAAAATAACAATGATATTTATCCGTTTGAGCTATGCAATGCAGATTATTTTAATGTTTCGTATTTTAAATATTACAGACTGCTAAATAAGACATTTAAATACAGTGGGGGGGTTTTCAGGAAATACTTTAGAAAGAAACACCTTTCATGGTTATTTCTTAAGGAACCATATATCACCTTGAAAAAAATGACAATAATATTACTATATGTTATGACATTTTGTTGTGTGATTTTTTTTTAGGCTCATGTTGCTTTATTAATCACTATACTATTTTATGTGGGGGCGTGACATGACCACCATGCCGGATAGATGCAGCAGGTGTGTGCTACTCGGCAATCTCCTTATAAAAGCCACTAAAGTAACAGTTTACACTGAACATAGACAAGCTTATTTGTACCCGAGTCTGGTACACTGGGTATCTTATTGCAAGCTCAAGATATTATCGATAATAAGCCGAGGAGGTCTGGTGTCCAGTCTCTGCGGCCTGGTGCATTCCCTTAATGGGAGAAGTAACGGATCTATCCCATTGGGACAGCCAAGGTTTCATTGCTTCTGTACTGCCCCCCCCGTTCCCCCCACCCTGGATCGGTTGGGGTTTCCCAGTTCCCACCAAGCACTCTCTTAATTCTTGCTCCTGGGCACAATCATGAAAGACAGCTCCCACAAAGGTTATCTAAGATGCATCAGCTAAGCCTGAATAGAAGGTGACTTACGGAGAGAAGATGGCTTTCATGAGGCATCTGGCGCCCTATGCATATGGTTCTGGAAAAGCTTAAGTAGCCGATTGAATCAACCCACTCTAACCACTGCCAAGCCGCTAATAAACAGTGGGGGTTCAGTTTTGGCAGGGGAACCCCAAGGGTTTGTACAGCAGAGCACAGTCCACATACCTGGGAGATCCATCCCTGTTCAGGACTTTTTCATAGCCATACCCTGGTTTTAGGGAGCGAGGCTCGTGGACATTGGGTGCTGATTCCTACTAATGCCCGGGGCAGAAGTGGTGCTACAAAGGGCAACACGACACCAAGCATACCCACAATATTTTTTTCAAGCAATGGACCAATTCATCCCTGTGAACCAACAAAGGACCCACGCCCGCTGGATGAACCTTCCAGATAGCATGAAGACATGCCAAAGGACAGACCATAGAGTCAGGGATGCTAAGTAACATGACCGATATACCTCATCCTAGAACGTCTGTCTTGGACTTTTGAATCAAAAACTTCACTTCATCCGATTCGCCAAAGACATCAACGAATATCAAACCCCTAGGGACTGATTTGGATGGGATCACAAGCTCACCTACCTGCATGGCCCAAAAGAGGGAAGGGGAGAGTGCCAACTGAAATAACACCACTTTAAGTGGGGAGAAACAAACCTGCGGCAAAACTGTAAACAAGCCCACCATAAGAGCGCCTGAAACCGGCCTCTGAGAATCCGAAAGCTTGGCCCCTTACGCTATCCCCTCATAACCATTGAAACCAGAACATCCTTTGTGATGTCTGAAACCCTGGTGAACTTCAAACCAAAAGCTCAGCTCAGACAACTTCCCAGACACAGCCAAGGGGAACATCTCTAAGCTTCCCAGAACCAAATTAGCTGTAACAAACCTTGCACACGCTCACCATCTGACTGAAAACCACCTTATCATAATGCTGCCAAGTAAACTTCGAGACCGAACCCCGCATACAAGACATTATTTGGTCAGCCCAAGGCCCCACAGGACCGCTGGGCATGGAAAGCCCACCTTATCTGCCCCTGGCGCTGCCGCCTTCAATTCCCATCACTGAAAACGAGAAAGAGCATCCGCTGTAACATTAGAAACCCTGGGCACATACACAGCCCAACAATACACATTCACCTGCACAACCCCCATATTATCACAGTGGAAGACCACCCTACGATCCCTGAGGAGATCACCCCAGATCTCCACAGCCACCACGATAGGAAAAAGCTCCTAGACAGCAAGGTTCGTAGTCAACCCCGCCGAATGCCAAGATTCCGGACAAGATTTGGGACACCAGTGGGCCCCAAAGATGGAACCGAAACCCAACTCACCTGTGGCATCAGTGAACAGATAGAGTTTGGCATTGGCACCTGCCAATACGACGGACCATTAAACCCGTCCAAGAAGACGGACCAAACCGCCAGATCCTCGCGCAATGGGTGAGTGATACACACATAATGATGAGGGCGGTCATCAATATCACTATTCAGCGATGGTGATACAGCCGAAACTTACCCAGCTCCTTCTTAGGCAATACCCCAAACAG